CACAGCGGCAATGATGTTTTTTGTCATTAACAGATAGTTACAGGTGGATAGCCCTTGTCAATAATAACAATAATTTGTCAAACTGTGACTTACTTCGAATTTCCTTTCACGAATTTGCTGATATCTGCTTAGTTCAGGGGAAATGCTACAGTAACATAGCAGAAGCTGAAAGAATTCACGCCAACAAAGGGCGAGGAGAGTGGTTCCAGGAAGATAGTGGACGACAATCGATGTTCCGGTTCCAGACACAGAGAAACAAGTATTGGACATAATCGAATCAGGGCCTTCCAGGGGCACTCAGAGCACAACCACTGACACTTTCCCAGGCCCCAAATAAATACCGGCTACATTCCTACCACGTTTGTACGATACACACAGCACAAGGAGATACAAATGGAGCAGGAGTTAATTAACTGAATACGAGAAGCTGCTTGATAAGAGTGGATAATAAGAAAATTAGGCAATAGGACACAGGCACTAGCTTGTTTGGAGTTAACCATTCAAATGTTTAGTGTTGTATGGATTATTTAAGTAAACACAAAACCCCGCAGAATTCGAGGTTATGAGAACAGGTTGACATTTCGTCAATAAATCTTGTTGATTTTACCGTTTATCCTTGTCTATCTTTTTGTCAGTCTGTATAATTTCATGGTTACCGGAGTTTTAAATAATTACGGAGCAACAGGTATTTGCGCAATGTTAATTAGGCAGATAACCTTGAAAAACATTGCTGCCGTATTTCTGATATAGTTTTTTGCAAATTTCTCAGTTTTTATTAACAATTAATTTCTTTTACTATTTTTTCTGTACTCCTATAACAGCGCCAGACAACACCTCCAGAGAAATGACGCTAATTTTGAATCACCCTGTATATTGGCCGATATACTTTCAATAAACAAATAGATGTTTTGTTGATTTGGAGGTACATATTTGATTTTCATTTTCCTCTGGCATTATTAAATGCTATTGGTCACACTAAAATTTTAAGCGTTTCAATAAAATAATAGTTCAGTAGATCTAAAGCAAAAAAAAAGATAATTGATGGATTATAGCGCCACCTGTCCAAATCGAAGAAAATGTTTTCGATAAATTATTCCCAGTTCTTGCATCTGGAAGCACTCGGAAGTCATCATGCTCCCGAAGCCCAAGAAAAACCGGACTTTCCCACAAAACTACAGGCCTATCAGCCTGTTGCCCGCTCTCAGTAAAGTAGCCGAAAGGGCTATACTGAGGAGACTCAAGGAGGAAACGAGCGAGCTTGATTTGCTTCCGCCTAAACAGTTTGGATTCCGAGGAAAGCATTGCACGGAACTTCAGCTGCTCAGGATAGTAGAAAGATGCACCAAAGAAATGAATCAGTACCGAACGACTGGAATACTCACACTGGATGTCGAAAGAGCGTTCGACAGAGTGTGGAGAGACGGTCTCATCTATAAGATGATGGAAATAGGTATTAACAAGAAACTGTGCCAGTTAATAGACAGTTATATTTGCAGAAGGAGCTTCAGCGTCAAAGTTGGAAGTCACCGGTCAGAAACCAGAAGCACGGAGGCAGGAGTACCGCAAGGAGCAGTGCTCTCCCCCCTGCTATACAACATATACACAAGCGACATCCCAAGACCT